TATAAAAATATCATTGTCAACAGGATATATGGAATATTCACAAACAAATAAGAACTTTCCATTAAAAACAGACTACTTTAACTCATTGGCATGTAACCAAAATCGATTCTATTTTTAGCAACACTATATCTAAAATAAGTCACAGATGTCATAAAGCGTAGCCCTTTTTTTAGTACTTTAATAGATAGAATTTTGAATTAAATTGTCCTGATGAAGGTCATAAAGTGACCGAAACTAGTAGACTCCAATAAAATCTTGTAAACTTGCCCTGATGTGTATTACTTTTTATTTTGAACTTGCATTGGTTGTATTTTTTTCTTTATTTATTTAGCATAATTGGTTATATTTTAGCCATGGGAGGTGCGAGATGTGTTGTTGGAGGATGTAGCAATAAGAGAAGTGAGCGGGTTAGCTTGCATCAATTCCCTAAGGACACAAACATGCGACAAAAGTGGGTGAGGGCAATCAAGTGTACTGGAACAAACATTTCTAGAGTAGATTGGAAAGTACTTAGTTATTCAAAATCATTCCAAGCACAGTTGGTTTGCTCTGACTATTTCAAATACATGTGCTTTACCCTCACAACTAGAATGCATTGGCAGCAGGGATTGTCATACAGGGCTGTCCTTACTGACGAAGCAGTGCCGACCCTATTCGGTGACAGATACAGGAGTGCAAGAAAAGGGTAGAGACTTCAAGTTCTAGAGGAGCCTTTAGAAAATGTGAATTAGAAAGAGTAAGTATATATTTTTTTTATGTCAAATTTTTTGACAACTCATCATACAATAAATTTTGAAGCTAATATACTGTACAGGTCAAGTATTGTCGGGTGCCCCAAATTTCTCTGTCCTACAGTCAACACCCATGTTCTGTATGACAAATGTTCGTTCAATAAGGCCTTATTATATTTACTATAACTGTATTAAGGGAGGTAACTGCAACAAGATGTATCACATTTAAATTTTGAGTTATTTCCCTTGGAAAATTTTCTAGGCAAAAGATGGAAGTTTAAAGGTCACTTCCTGTTTGGGGTCATATGGGAAACAATTTACTTTTCCACCTCAGCTTCCACACTGGAAAGACTTAAGAAATTTTTGAATTAAATCTTAAAAAATCTTAGCAATCTATGTAATTTTTGTTATTTTCAAATAATCAAAAGTTTAAACAACAATGCCTGGAAGGGGTAGAGACATTAAAAGGAAAGCTGGGAGAGAGTAGGAGCCAGAAAGAGCGGCCATGCTGGCTGAAGACAGCAATCCTGATTCTACAGACATATGAATTGTTGGAGACTCTCTGGTCCATTGGTCTGGGACAAGGTTTTCCTGAGTCAAAGAACTCTCTAGCAGACAATATCACTGACCGGGATGGACACAGTGGTCTAAAAGTGGAAGAATTGCACTCTAAAATGCAGCTGGGTGTTCTTACAGGCAAAAAACCTAAAATTATATTTTTACACTGGGATTGGGGGACAATACAGTAAATACAAATATGTGTGAAATCATTTGGCAACAAAAATATTAATTAAGGTATATTTTTAAAAACTTACAAAGTGCTTTAACTGTATGGATTTTAATTCTGCAGAGACTGTCTCGGTTTTGGCAATGCAGAGGTTCTGATTTGGAAAGAAAAGAAAAAGACAAAGAATCAACAGGTCTATCTCACAGTTCATGTTGTCTCAGCCCAATGGTAGAGCCTTGTATATTAAGTCTATTGACAATGATACACCTGGTTTTTTACGTGACGACAATGTCCACTTATCTGACATCGGTAATGAGACGTTTATCTTGGAAGTGTAAGAAGCTGTCTCTTTATTTCTTAATAGTGAGTCAGATAGCCTTAAAAGTATTTAGAAGTTTAAGCCGACAAGTGCAAACACTTTGTTGTGGTGAATAATTTGAAGGCTGCTGACAATTAGATGTTGCAACTCTATTTTAGGAATATTTTAAAGAATTAATATAAACTAAGGTATGGATTTACTCTCTTAAGAATATGGTTGACATTATTGTTCAGATATGGGAAAAATATTTCCAGCAGTTTTGCAGTAACACTGACAACAAATCATTAAAATTTAAGTTGGAGGGACAATATCCTATAATTTCTTTTATTCTTAATTAGCATGCTTTAGGTCTGCTTGGAACAGGTGGGCTTATTGCAGAGATACATAATAGTTTCTTGAGTAGTTATTAATTTTAGTAGCATATTTTAAATATGTGATATCATGGAAAAGGAATATCATGGCATTGGAAATATCTTATATTAGGAAAATGGAATTTGGATATCATTAAAATGAAATGGAAATGGAATTTGGATATCATGAAAATGGATTGGAAATCAAATTTGGATATCATGAAAATAGAATTTGGATATCATGAAAATGGATTGGAAATGGACTTTGGATATCATGGAAACATGATTTTTATTATCTAACTACTGGAATATTTGAGCGAACTGAAAGGCAGTGCATTCCAAATGTGTTTTTTTACTTGATAAGGAATATATAGTATGAGTTATAATGATGAATAAAATGCATCCAAAGTTAAGGTGTTTTGCTTTAAATAGCTTTGTATTTATTCAGTCTTAAAATAATTAATTTTAATGCTGAATTATCATTGTTATTTTATCATTGTCTATTTTTGGTATGTATATATAATTTTCAATGAATAGTATATTTTAAATCTTAAATCATTACTTATTTTGTATATATATGTTAACAGTATGGTCATTTTGTTAGTGCCTTTATAAACTATTGGACATATTCAAAACACAAAAATCTAACAGAAATATTCACCAAAGATTGGATCAATGAAAGAATGTAATTTTATCATATGCAACAAAAATATCAACTAAAATATATAAACAGAATTAAGGACATCAGCATACTTTGAAGAAAAAGTAAACCTCCTTGTTAGTGCCCTTACAAACTTCTTAAGTCTACAAAAGAACTTTTCACAGAACTCTGTAACTAATACAAAAAAAAACTGAAATCACAAAGCAAAACTAAAATATACTTAAGAACTGAGAGCACAAAGCAGAACTAAAGCATACTTATAAATAATGCACCAATTTGGTATAGCTTATAGCTTTTTTCAATAATGCCCCCATGTTTCACAACTCTTTAAACATTCTTGTAAAGCCATAATATACTATATATATAAATAACAAAACAGTCATACTGTATTCTATAAAAAAAATATAAAATTTGCTAACAACACAAACTAAGAACAGACGATCAGTAATTATAGCTAGTTTGGTTCTCATGATATAAAAAGTGCTATCAATGAAATAAAAACAAAAGCCAATCTAATATTTGAATGTCAACATCACTTGCTCTCAGTAATATCAAATAGGTATTAAAGGTTGAAATTATATTTTGTCAAATGAGATTTCTCAATGAGATTTTCATATTCTTTAAATAGGCACAAACTTATCATCAAAAACTGTCCTGTTACTTTCATGTATCATCCTGACATTGTGTTAAACATTCAAAATATAATTTCAACCACTTAGAAGGCAAGTGTTTAATTCCATTAAATCTGCCAAGAGGCTGTGTTGCTCTAGATAAATTTAATTTCATTTATCCTGACTAACAAATTCTAGCATATACTAATTGTATATTTTCATATTTCCAATAATCAATTAGCTATGATATAATGTGCTATTATTAAAGGGATTCCACTGAGGTTTTTTTGACATGATTGGACTAGAAATAATTTTTCAAGATTAATGTTCCATTCAGTGTAGGTCTAGACAAATTACTTGTGTGAAAAATTTCAGATCATTTGCACTATCCCTTTATCCAGAAGAACTATTTTAATTGTGAAAAATCACCTAACACTTCACAAAAATCCAATTAAGAATAGCAGAAAAATATGATTTTTAATTTATTTATGAGTATTTTCTTAATTCAAATTATCTTTTGCATATCTTTGTTTGGACTGCCCCAGCAGATCTATGTGAGAAGTTTTAATTTTATATGTTTTGGCTTTCGGACCCCAGTGGAGTTCCTTTAAACTAACAGGATTGCATATTAACAAAAAATAATCAATGCCAATTCACCGGATGAGAATTCAAGGTCTTAGTAAAAAAGATCACCCAAAAAAAGAAGCACTTAAAACATTATTTCTAAACTAATTTACTGTGATGTCACAATTAAATTGTGATTTTTAACAATATCTAATGAGATTCAGAAGCTCTTAAATAATTAAAAGCAAAGCATGAAATGCGAGATGAAAACATTTAAAATATGAAAATGAAGTCAAGTAAAGCAATAAAGAGATATTATGGTCTTTTAAAGGAGCTCACCTTCAGGTGAGTTAAATTAATCTTCAAAAATTAGAACTTCATGAAATATATTTACAGTTTATGAAACAATTAAACATAGAACACAATCCATGTGATACTTTGAATGTTATACTGAAGATAGACTTTAATATTTACTACTTTTTATTTTCAGAATTCTTTCAAATTTGTGTCACACCGACACAGTAGAGGTCATATGGCGACTTTCCAGCTTTTACAAGTGGAGGAAGACCTCAAGTGCCCTTACATGCGTTATTTCAGGCACGAACGGTACCTGAGTAGAACCACAGACATTCCATAAGCTAGCTGGATAGCTTCCTCACAGAATTCTTCCTAGTAACTAATAACCAAGAAAAAGAAATTACGACATTTTTGACAAGTTATTTATAGGTCAATTCAGTGGATGGTTTAACCATAACCTACATTTAATCACTTACTTTGTACACATTTTTAGTTTAATATCTAACATGGAAGTAAATGTCAGAGACAAAAATTCAAAACTTGAATGTTGTGAGTAAGTGGATTGCTTTCTCATTTTGTTTCAATTGCAACTTATTTTCATAAATTATAATAACCATAATGAAACAATCAGAAATAGAAGTCACTTAAATAAAATATTCATGATTTTTTTATCAATACTGGTCCTGTTTATATACATGTACTATAGACTAAAAGAAAATTAGACATACAGCATGTACAGCAGGCTTTGAATACCCAGGCAAAAAACATCAGAAAAATTTAATTTAATTTCAAGAGTATCTGACTGGTCAAAAACATAGATTCTAACACGACCCACATTTTTTTAGCATAGAAGAACCGAAAGTGTGTGTTATTATGCTATAAAATCACTGTTTGATGTTCTATATTTAGACATGTGATGTAATCATTATATATGTGGCGTAACCACTCTAAAATCCGACGCACTGACAATAAGTACGGAAACAAATCCGGCGCAATTTTGCTTAATATCAGGTACGGCAGCATATATTTGTTGATGTTGTGTTAGAATCGAAATAATATATCCAATTTGGCGATTTTATCACTGGATAACATCACTGTTTGTCGTTCGGATGCTCATTATTATATTACTTGGGCTACGCCCTCGTGATATTATTCCTCGCATCCGAACTCCAAAAAGTGATGTTATTGAGCGATAAAATAACAGTTTGGGATATATTATTTCTTAAATATACATTTACAAATGAAAATCTAAGAAAGACCAGAAAAATGTATTATTACTAAGATTATTATATAAAGCTCAGAAAATATGTATGTATAAGTGCAATGCCTGAAACAGTAACTCTGGGTGAAATAAGACTGAAAGGGATATAGTTTTCTTATTAAACTTTCTCCTTAATATTCTGAATCTGTGTCGCTAACCTATTATAGTGTAATGTGTCTTTACTCTTTTCCATTGACTCTAGTATCTCACTTGTCATTGTGTACAGCTCTTGTTCCAACTCTAACATTTTGCTGGAGTCATTAAATAACCCCTTTATCACATTTCCTTTCTCACTAACACTTTGACTAGAATTAGTTACCTCCCTTGCACTATATTTAGAAATTACTTGGTCACACGAAGCTGTAATACTATCTTTGCTAGCACTTTTTACATCTGCGTCTATTCTTAGTCTCTTTCTGCTTGGTTCGCCACTACTATCTGAAATGTCTCTCATACTCTGTTGCAGATGGAATTTTCGGTAACTTGAAATGCTGTCAATAGCCCTAAAACCAACAAAAATTCTATTAAAATAACAATAAAGCTAGTCCATCGCTATCATAATAATGAATATCTGATAACAAAGGAGAGCAAAGCAAACATATTAAAATCTTATTAAAAATCAATATAATTAAAATCGAGCATTAATGGAAACTTAACTGAAGTCTAAATGCATAAAATATACAATTTTGTATCATTTTTTACAATTCAAATAATTATTCTGAAATAAACAAGAGGGCCATGATGGCCCTAGATCGCTCACCTGAATTATCAAACACATCCAAACAATTACCTAGACAAGCATTCTGACCAAGTCTCATGACAGGTAGTGTTGGGTATCGGACTCAAAAATCACTATCGATAATCGGACCACCACAATCGATTGTCTGCCGATAGTATAATCGAGTTTCGCACTTATTATGGACCTATTTTCTTTTAAGGTACCAATCCTTGTATGTATTTTTTTTATACAGTAGTGACCACATTTTGAGAATAAATAAACTCTTGTCTCCAAGATTAAAGTATGATTTGCTCTTTGAATTCAAAACAAACAACACAAATACCTAATACTACTTTGTGACAGTCAATTATTGTATAATACAGCTTTATGGCAGTCAATATTAGACCTAGTCAACAGGTCACAATATAAATGAGTAGTATTGAAGATCACTAATTTAACTATAGTAGATAATTATATATAAGTTTATAATGTTATGTTATTACACACTATAATTTTCTAAAGTAGTATTAACCATGATAAATAGGTTTTGAATACAAAAAAAGACTTTAGAATAGTCTGGAATTAAAGAGATTCAGTCGGGAAATTTCTATTTGACCGCGTGTGAAAAAGTTGCGCCCGAAGCAATTTATGCGTAGGTAGAACATTAAAATAATTGATTTTTAAAAACAACTATCGATAGTTGCCTATTTTGGGGTGGTCCGATTAGTTATCGATTTTCAGAGACAATCGGGACAACACTATATTGACAGGTGAGTCAAAAATGTGACCACTACAGTGTTAACAAGGATTATCCATATTTGAGCAGTGCGACCTAGTTTTTAACCCAGGTGACACATATTCAAACTTTACCGAGAAATCATCAAAACAAACTTTCAGACCAATTTCCAGGATACTTAGATCAAAACAGTAGCAACTGGAGTGTTAACAAGATTTTTCTATTTTTAGCTCCGGTGACCTAGTTTTTCATGCGATTTCGAACTCATCCAAGCAATTACCTAGACAAGCATCCTGACCAAGTTTGATGATAATTGAGTGGAAAATGTGACCACTAGAATGTTAACAAGGTTTTTCTATTTTTAGCTCCTGTGACCTAGTTTTTCATCCGAGATGTCCCATGTTCGATTTATTCCAAGCAATGACCTAGACAAGCTTCCTGACCAAGTTTGATGACAATTGAGTCAAAATTGTGACCACTAGAGTGTTAACAAGGTTTTTCTATTTTTAGCTTGTGACCTAGTTTTTCATCCGAGATGACCCATGTTCGAACTCATCCGAGCTATCACCTAGACAAGCATCTTGATCAAGTTTGATGATGATTGATGCAAAAATGTGACCGCTAAATTGTTAACAAGGTTTTTCTATTTTTAGCTCCGGTGATCTACTTTTTCATCCGAGATGACCCATGTTCGAACTCATCCAAGCTATCAACTAGATAAGCATCCTGACTAAGTTTGATGATGATTGATGCAAAAATGTGACCGCTAGAGTGTTCACAAGGTTTTTCTATTTATAGCTCCGGTGACCTAGTTTTTCATCCGAGATGACCCATATTCGAACTCATCCGAGCTTTTATCTAAACAAGCATCCTGACAAAGTTTGATGATGATTGGGTCAAAAATGTGACCACTAGAGTGTTCACAAGGTTTTTCTATTTTTAGCTCCTGTGACCTAGTTTTTCATCCGAGATGACCCATGTTCGAACTCATCCAAGCAATTGACTAGACAAGCATTCTGACCAAGTTTGATGATGATTGGTTCAAAAATGTGACCACTAGAGTGTTCACAAGGTTTTTCTATTTATAGCTCCTGTGACCTACTTTTTCATCCGAGATGACCCATGTTCAAACTCATCCGAGCTATCACCTAGACAAACATCCTGACCAAGTTTGATGATGATTGGGTCAAAAATGTGACCTCTAGAGTGTTCACAAGGTTTTTCTATTTTTAGCTCTTGTGACCTAGTTTTTCATCTGAGATGACCCATGTTCGAACTCATCTGAGCTTTCAACTAGATAAGCATCCTGACCAAGTTTGATGATGATTGAGGCAAAAATGCGACCGCTAGAGTGTTCACAAGCAATTGTGGACGGCCGGACGGACGACGGACATTCACCGATCCTAAAAGCTCACCCTGAGCAAGCTCAGGTGAGCTAAAAAAGAGAAAGCAACTGATCTGCAAATTTGAACACAAATTATTGGTCTAGACCTTCAAGGATTGGAGCATTCACATAGAAAAGTTATTTTTAGTCATGTCATGTCAAAAAACCTCAGTGGACTCCCTTTAATGGGAACATGGTCATATATACATGTATAATCTGATGCTTCGTCAGTGTTTTTTTTTACAGTGAGACTCCAGCTTCAATGGTCGACTTAGACCTCAGGTGCTCTTTTTATATTATTTCTGGGCATCATCCCGATAACGGAGTAGAACCACAAACCTTATTTAATCTTGTTGGATACCATTCTTAAATGAAAGAATCCAAAGTCCCACAAGGGATTCAAACCTACAGTGTTGAGAGTCGACTCAAGTAATAAAATCAGTGACCTTGACTACTTGGCAACAGATGTACCTCTAATGCCTTAAGAATTATGTTTCTCTTAAAAATATATTCATCCATACTTTTAATTCATCAATAAAGCTGTGATTCTTTATTTTATAATATTTTTTGGCTGTATTTTACATTGACCAACACAGTAGAGGTCAGATGGCAACTTTCACAGACCTCGGGTGCCACTCAGTGGATCATTCAGGCTCAAACAGACCTTATCAAAGCTGGGTAGCTTCTTCACATGAAAGTCAATGATTTTCAAGAGCTTACTTAAAGAAAATGAACTGTATTCAGCATCCTAACAATGATTTTTTAGGAAAACCGGAATAAAAAACCAAAGATAGTTGGGTTATTTCCGATATGTCTTTTACACATGTCATATAAAACACATGCACTTATTTTCTCTAGTAAAACCATTTGATGATAAATGAGTTACTTTAAGCAATTCAAGGTTACCATCTGGATAACATATATTACATGTCATCAGTGCTTACCTCTGAAGGCATACAAGACAACCAGAGTTATCTCCCATTTTGACTAGAGCTGCTGCTTTAAATTTTAACGCAATCACATCTACGTCACCATAATGCTCCGCATCAGACTGACTCTGAGATAGTTCATTGAATTTCCTTTTTCCTACGATCTTCCCACTTTCGTTACAAGAGCCTTGACTTTTAGTGAGTAAACTCTGATCCAATGTTTGGTCGAACGTTTGGCTCAATAGAGGGTCTAATGTTTGTGAGAGAGCTGAGTATTCAAGAGACGACGTATTGCTGTTGTAGCACATGAGAACACGGTCACAAAGTGTTACACATTCCTCGTATTTCTGTGCCATCAGGAGAGCTTCAATGGTCTCGTGATGGACTTGTAACAATGGAGGTATGGAGGAGATTTCCTAAAAACACACACAAAAATCTAGTTTTTTTAAAGCAGCATGCCTCCAGGTTCATGCTAATTTTCATGAACATTTCAAAAATATATTTAAAAGTAAAATATTGTGAAGTGAACATAGAAATAAATTTACACATTGCAATCCACATAAATTACCAAAAGAGGTCAAAATAAGCTAAACTAGCACTAAAGCAGTAGAAATATGGTGATAAATTCTGCAAAATCTGTCTTTAATCACAAATAACAACATGTAATTACTTGAAACTTAAATCATTTTACTTCTATTAAAATCTAAATACATTTATCTCATGTTTAATGTTCTCCAAATATTTTGGCTCATCTTGAGGTATGCAGCTTTAAGAAGAGCTAAAACATAACAATCTGAAACTAAGATAAAAGAATCTAACTGACTTTGTATGTGGTTTAATGTGTGTTTAGTTTATGAGACTTTCCAAATATTCTTAATACTACGTAAGCAACAATGAAGCCTTGTATCAGAGATCACAATTCTTAACAGTGCAGCTGCACTGAAATTACATGCAGGAGACAAACTGACAAATGTAGTCATTTCATATTATAAGCCATCAATCTCTTCACCTAATGTTGAGTACCAGCTGGGGAAAATCATACCATCTATATTATTGTCTTTGGTACAGCCAAAGCCAGGGACCAAACCAAATCCACAACTTCCTGGGAACTAAATGTATGAAAAAGTTCACAATTCGTTTTGACTGGCTTTGCAACCAGTTTTTTCCCAAATTTTATTTCAATAATCTAATTTTTAAACTTCAGAAGTATATAATTAGTTTGACCCAAAAAGGGTTAAACAAAAACCACTGTTTCTAATACTGCAAAGTTACTTAAGAAAGTTCATTGTATTACCTTTTTATTAGTTTTCCATGTTTTGAGATGTTCAAGAAGTGACATATATTTCTCTACAGCTACATCATACCTTCAAACATACAAAACTGTCTATGTACATATCATAACAAAAAACTATTTGTGAAAGAATTTATCTGTAAAAAACAAATTCTACATACAATTTTGTGGGAATTCCCATATTGAAATTAACTTTCTTAAATTTCAAAATAAATTTCTGTTCTATGAAAAAACAAGAAATAAATCTAAAATCTCGGGTTACTACTTTTATTGTCATTCAGTTGTTATAATTATACTGACAATTTAGGAAGCATGGAAAAGGTCAGAAAAATTAAAGAATTTCAAGTGTATGGAGGTTCCTTTGAATATGTATGAAATCATTCAAGTTTAGATATTTCATGTTCAATATACATCTACATTATTTTTTATATCACTGACATTGTAGCAATTACAAAGTTTTTAAAGAACAAACATAAAATTTCCTATCAAATATTATCCTTGCTTCAAACTTCCAAGTTCTTAAAATTTTCACTGAAAACATTGTAGGCCTATGCATGACCAGGCCCTTACACTGTGTGTTGCTTACTTTGAATATTGTGGCATTTGTATCTCTGAACACAACAAAGGGCAACTGTAAATTCAAAGGTTGTTTGTTTGATTTTAAGTAACACTGACACTGTAATAGTCGTATAGTGACCTTCCAGCTTCACTGGTTGTAGAACAACTCGGGGTGTCCCTGACCATTTTTTTCAGGCACCAGCCAGCATCTAAGTAGACCACCAACCTTCTGTAAGCTAGCTAAAAAGTTTCCTGTAAGAATCAAATTCCACTGACAAAATTTAAACCCACAGCAGTAAGGGCCAAGCAATTTGAAGTATGCAACCTTAAACACCCAGCTACATTTAATTTGTAAATTAGTCATATCAATTATACAAAAGGTTTTGAAAAAAGATAACTCATAGCTACCTCTTTAACTGCATGGACCTACTACTGAGTGAATACAGGGCTTTTACATATGATATGTCTGTATCCTCTATGTCAAGTAAACACATGAAATCTATACCTTCATACTGAATACCTCTATCATCCCTCATTTCCAAAGCCTGCAGGGATAAAATGTATATTCAGCAAAAAAATTTTAACGGTTTATAATTCTTCGTGAAAGAGAAACTTTTTATACTTGTCTTAAAGGAACTCCTCTGAGGACCAAAAGCCTAAAATCATAAAATTTGAATTTCTTATAAAGATCAGCTGGGCATTTAAAACAGAAATATATGCAAAAGATAATTAAGAAATATACTGAGAAATACATTGAAAATCACATTGTTAGCTATTCTTAGATTTTGGGTCATTTTCACAATTAGAATAATTATTCTAGGAAAACAAAATGAGCAAATGATCTGAAATTTTACATACAAGTTATTGAGCCAGGCATACATCTAACAGAACATTAATCTTGAAAAATTATTTCTGGTCCTGCCCTCTCCCAAAAACCTCAGTGGAGTCCCTTTAAAATTTCATATTCTTTATGAAAAAGAAACTTTGTTATGTATGTCTTGGAATTTTAAAATTGTGAGAAGTACAATATTGATTTTCTTAAATAAAATAGACTCTTTAAAAAAATGCTGAGGTTGACCAGTGGGAACAATTACTTTTATTTGCCGACAACTCTTTGAACAGTCATGCTAATGGTTAATGTAAAATAATCTTAATTAGAGCTTGTTTCAATTTTGTGTGAATTTTCTAGATCTGCTTGCACTCAACCCTTTCGGTGCCTTGTGCCACCCAGGCCTTAGACAAAAAGCACTTACACAAAATACAATCTCAGATCACATGAAACAACTCTATAATAATCATACATTTTGTATTAAATTTTAGCCTAGTACTTCCCAAAAGTAATAAAGAAATTATCTAAAAGCACTCCACAAGTTGTCTACATTTTAAAAACAAAATATTTCTTCAAAAGGCTATGAAGTAATTTTTAAAGCTGCTTTGAAGTATAGAGTCACATCAACAAAAGAAAAGGCAACACTTAAATTTTTTTCCATTTAAATGATGAAAGGTATTCCTATCTGCTATAAAAATATGAAGCAATGTTTATAACAGATAGTTAGTATAAGTATTTAACTCAAGATGAGTTATCCTTTCTTAGAACCACCGTCTGTGAAGAAGAAAGTCATCTAGAGAAAGCTTATTGACAATATCATACGTAGAATTAATATTACTTACTGTGACTAGTAAATTCAAGCATTCTAATTCCATATCGGCTATTTTCTGTTTCTTATACTGTAGAGATGTGTTATACAGTGGCACTAGGTAACTGAAGTCAGCACACAATGCTTCCTTGAACATCTGTATTGATAGCTGGTATTTCTCCTGTGAACAGAAAACAGCAAAATCACATTAGCCTTTGAATGATAGTGTGAAGATAATTAGTTAAGCTCGATTACGAAACAAGTTTTTGCAACTTCTGTATATCACTTTCAAGTTCACTGGGACCAACCAGTAATGGTGTCATATGAAGACACATGTTTGTGACCAGATTAAGGCTCGAACCCATGATCCATGGGTTGAGTGGCAGACACCTTTAACCACTAGGCCACCGCTCTCCTTTGAATGTTGGATCAGATAATCTTGATCATACAATAACCATCTACTTGGACTGGAAAATCATGAAGTCTTGTCCACAGCTTTTTTTTTGTGCAAGCTATCCAATTCTTAATACTTCAACATTTGACATGTTTGAATATTTCAATATTGGAAATCGGCATAAAAACGGCTTCAGCAAAAAATGTCTAGTTTTTTAAGTTTACATGAGCTGATTGAAACACTGAAAATATAGTGAATGAAACTTACCAGTTTGTCAAAACATTTTCCAATAAGGTTGTAAATTCGAGCCTTCAATCTTTGTGTCAGTGCGTCTCCAGATCTCAGCACCTCCATCAAACAAGATATACCCTCTGTATATCTGCCACTTTTATACAAGGCAAACCCTAGAAAAAAGCAGAGCATTGATTACTGTTTAATCAAAAATACTAAATAGAAATTAAAGCTTTTATATTTATTAATCACTGTTATCAGGACTATTTTCTGGAAGCTTTATATGCCCCTGCTTGCCTACAAAGCATCTGAGGTAAAATGCATTATCTAAAGACTCAAGAGATGCGAGTTTGATCCTGTGGCAAGTCATTTTATTGAATCTTTTCTTCTAAAACATTAAACCATCTCTTTAACTAACAAAGGGGGTTTCTCAAATTTCAAATCTGACTAGACCATCATACAAATTACAAAGAATGAAAAGGATAAAACAACATGTACAAACCTGACAAAAACTGGGCAACACATTTAACATTAATGGTATCGATTCCCTCTACACTTCTGCACACTTTTTCCCATGATTGATCCTTACAATGGCATACAGTCATCAGGAAGGACACGATGTCTAAAATCTGATCTCTGTCTGCAAGACTCAGGCTAGAATGTTCTACTCTCAATGGTAGAATAAATGTTTGCTGTGGGTGTACAGATGTAGTATCCATACAGTGTAAGATATTCCTTACTCTCTCCAGGAGTTTGACTATGGTACTGTTATATTCTTTCATGATTTCTCTCACACTGAGGATCAAAATGCATTGACATACATGTAATGAGAGGGATTCTTTTCCTGCAAAAGATAGCATAATGAAAATAATACTAATGATGTCTTTGACTATCACATTAAGATTTATTTGAACTGGAACTGGTGGCAATTGCTTATCACTTGATGCCAAATTACATACTGGAAATACATGTATCTTTGAATTTTCCAATATTGTGCCATAGTAAACTTTACAAAGAAAATGATCTATGAACGATAAAACTCAGTTATCGAGATGTGTTCACTGTGTAAAACACTACTGTAAAGTGAACTGCATGTGTAACCATATCTCGGGTAAGCCCTGCAACAAAATTCCTTCACAAAAACAAAATTACTGTATGCCAAATGAAAATGGGTGCTTCATCCTCAACAGCAAAAGTAGCACTAGAAAGCATTCTTTTAAACATCATTAATGAACTAATTTTCTTTACTGTTCAACTTTTATTTTAACTTCTCAGTGTTACATAGCATTTTAGGGGATTTACAAGTCTGGTCTTTCAAAATTCCACGACCAACTTCACAATTCATTGGTATTTCCATAAAAGAAAGAATAATCATGACATTTCCAAGATATATATATATATATAAGGACACTCGTACCTATCCCATATTGTAACTTCTCTAGAACATCATCAAACAGGCTATAGCATGCAGTTTTCGTGTCACTGTACTGTAGAAAATCTCCTTTCCTTTTCTGTGGAGACACAGTTCTCAAAACTGTTTAAAAAAAACCACATTAATTATACCTAATGAATTCATATGTTTTAGCCATTTAGAATTAACAATGACATAAAACACATCTCATTTGTTTAAAGGTATTAAGCTATTTGCATTCATTCATATGAGCGAACAAATTTCAAAAAGTCACACTTAGCTTTGGGAAGATATACTAAGAAATCACTAGGTTCCCTAGCATGAAATTTTGTATATTTGATATACAGAAATAGTATAGTTTGTACAGTCTTTAATTTGTGAATTTCCAATTTCAAAACAACAATCATTATAAAAATTGTAAAAATTTACAAAGTCCATTCTCTATACAGAATTAGATTATTCCTAAAACCAAAGAACATTTACAAGAATTATCTTGCAGGTTTTCTTTTTTCTTGTTGAACAGACTTGGCCACTGTTTATCTTCATTCAAAAATTCTAAAAGTCCATTCCACATTCGAACATGTACTAATTTCCTATTTCAAATGCTTAATTCCACTTTTTGTTCTAATTAAACCACTTTATGGTATTATAGTCAAATCACAAGAAATGTCTTTTGTACTGATGATGTAAGCAACACACTGACACGTATACAAAATGTACATGTACACAGCTTGAGGAAAACTTCAAACCATCTGGTGAAATTGATTATGAGGCCAGATGTTCAAAACCGCACAAGTTGATATTTAATTAAAATATGGATTGAGTATTTTGTTTTAAACAAGAACACTTGCATTTGCCAAAATTCAGCCAGCAGAAAATAGCTGTATGCTATCAGCAAGTATATTGGCCACATTTTATGAATATGACTGCCTTAATATTGCTATTTTAAGTGATAAAATCTACTAACAGAAGCCAGAGTATTATGATCTGTGAATCTGTTTCAATTTGACTCAACAACAAAAACAGGTGTTTTAACAAGGCCGAACCATTCAAATTTTAAGCTTAAATTAGATAAAGAATCAACATTGTTTATACCTTAAACTAAGTTATTAACTATTCCAGCCATTTTCATATTTTTCACGTTATCATAAGCTGTCCTAAAAGGATTGCAATTTAACATTTGATACTGTAAAAATCATTAAGTGATTTTTCCAGCTTTATTGGCGGAGGAAATTCTCAGACAGGACCACTAATCTGATTAGAACCATCAACATTTCATAAACCAGCTGAATAGCTTCCTTACATGAAAGAATCCAAAGTCGTAAATCTCATCAAAAATAAAATATATAGTCAAATGTAATGTACCTCTTGAAAATGTTTTATAAACTTGACAATAAATGTCAGTTCCCAGCCCTGGTTCATCAACACTGCATACAACCTCAGTGTGATAAAAGACATAGTTGTAGAGGGCACATAACTCCACCAGTATTATATCTTCTCTTGCAGGGATACCTTGTAAATGTAATTGATTACAATTTAAATAGTGTAACCTCTGCAAAGCAAAACCTCTCAACAACAACAAAATTCTTTGTCTCCAACATGGTACTGCTCTGGAAAGGTTGCACCAAGTCCCATTGATTCAGTGCAAAGCATATAGATGATACAGGATGATAAAAAACAACGATAAATCGATATATCAATAAGGCCAAAAAAAAAATATGTCTGGTTCAGGAAACATTGGTCCAAAAAATTAGGAGGGTAGGATTTTTTTTTTTTTTTTTTTTTGTTGGGAGAATGTCTTATTTTCCATATATAGATGTGTTGCTTGCTTAACATACTGAAACAAAGATTGTAATCAATCAATGCAAACACCATTTTGTAATAAACTATCAGCATGTGATATTGTGTTGTTTATTTCTTGTATGTAGTCATTTAACCATGTAGCACCTGTATTCATACTAATTTGCTTTCTATTCTGCTTATTATGTACCCTTTCCCTTTGAATCACCCGCTGTACTATTGCTAACCTGCATCTGACAGGTCTGACAATTAAAAGATCAAGGGTCACCTCTGTAACAAGTTAATAATAATGCTGTATTATAAGCTTAGAGCATCTGACATGCACTATTCCGGGGACCAAAATAACACAGCTATATATAATTTTAATATTAAACATATTCAAATGGTCTTCAGGGGGCGCAAGTCTATAGATATATATGTGCAACTGGTACCAACAGTTGCAGGGTTCAAAGAAGGAGTCTTGAAACTCCCAAGCACAAAAGTAGGAGTTCCAGATCACATTGAATATGTTTAGCTATCTTTGCTGCACTTATAAACAGTTGACAAATATGATGTAAAGTAAAGTAAGGGGTTGGGGAGTCAGAGTTTGAACAGAGAAAAAGCTTATTCAGGAAAATGGTAATATGTCCCAAATGGAAAACACTGTACCATAAAAGTGATTGAAAAGATTTGAAATATACTTTAAATAAACATACATCATCACATCATTATGCTGTTTTCTTACATCCCCCCTCCCTTTAAAAAGAAAATATTCATTGTATGTTACAAACAAATACTGGTAATGGCTCCATCTCAACTAATAGTTAATCTCATTCCTAAACTATATTTTAAGTGTTATTACACACATTTTAACAAAACATATCTTCTCTTTTGTTACGATTTTTTTTTAATTATAAAAAGCGGCATCGCGAAAATATGTGACAATTGAAAATTTGTCTGTTTCCTGCAGAAACATTCACAATTCTACTTGTTGTTGAGTTTGATCATATAAGATTAAATATTTTTTGATTATTTTAAGATTGTTACTCATCGGCTATTTCAACAGGCATCGTAAAACAAAATTTTCACATTTGTAAATTTCGTACCTGAAAATGTTCGTACCGAAAATCAAACAAGAGGGCCATGATGGCCCTGAGGTCGCTCACCTGTATATAGGCCCCCCCCCCCACCCCCAGGCCAATTTTTACCCAAGGGCTTTTATTTGTTTATTTGAACAGACTTGGTAGACACCCATAAGAAGATGTTTCATGCTAAACATCTAAGTTCTAGCTCATTGGGTTTTTTAAAAGAAGATTTTTAAAGTTTTTACTATACACATATAGTTAAAAACAATGATACCCCTGGGGCAGGGCCAGTTTTGACCCCCGGGCTTTTATTTGAACAAACTTTGTAGATATTTACTTAAAGATGTTTCATGTTTAATATCTAAACTCTAGCTATTTGGGTTTTTTCAAAGAAGATTTTTAAGTTTTTGCTATACACATATAAGGAAAATCAATGACCCCCCGGGCGGGGCCAGTTTTGACCCCAGGGCTTTTATTTGAACATACTTGGTAGACACCCATTAGAACATGTTTCATGCTAAATATCTTAGCTCTAGCTCTTTGAGTTCTTTAAAAGAAGATTTTTAAAGTTTTTGGGGCGGGGCCAATTTTGACCCCAGGGCTTTTATTTGAACATACTTGGTAGACACTCATTAGAAAATGTTTCATGCTAAATATCTTAGCTCTAGCTCTTTGGGTTCTTTAAAAACAGATTTTTTAAGTTTTTACTATATGCATATAGGGAAAATCTCTGACCCCCTGGGGCGGGGTCAATTTTGACCCCAGGGCTTTTATTTGAACAAACTTGGTAGACATTCACTAGAAGACGTTTCATGCCAAATATCTAAGCTCTAGCTCTTATGGTTCTTTAAAAGAACATTTTTTTAAGTTTTTACTATATGCATATAGGGAAAATCAATGACCCCCCGAGGAGGGGCCAATTTTGACCCCAGGGCTTTAATTTGAACAAACTTGGTAGACACTCACTAGAAGATGTTTCATGCCAAATATCTTAGCTCTAGCTCTTTGGGTTCTTTAAAAGAAGATTTTTTAAGTTTTTACTATATGCATATAGGGAAAATCAATGACCCCCTGGGGCGGGGCCAATTTTGACCCCAGGGCTTTTATTTGAACAAACTTGGTAGACATTCACTAGAAGATGTTTCATGCCAAATATCTAAGCTCTAGCTCTTACGGTTCTTTAAAAGAAGATTTTTTTAAGTTTTTACTATATGCATATAGGGAAAATCTATGACCCCCGGGGCGGGGCCAATTTTGACCCCAGGGCTTTTATTTGAACAAACTTGGTAGACACTCACTAGAAGAAGTTTCATGCTAAATATCTTAGCTCTAGCTCTTTGGGTTCTTTAAAAGAAGATTTTTTAAGTTTTTACTATATGCATATAGGGAAAATTTATGACCCCCTGGGGCGGGGCCAATTTTGACCCCAGGGCTTTTATTTGAACAAAGTTGGTAGACACTCACTAGAAGATGTTTCATGCCAAATATCTAAGCTCTAGCTCTTAGGGTTGTTTAAAAGATATTTAAAGATTTTTCTTTTGGTTGCCATGGCAACCAGAGTTCTGCATGGAATTAAATTCTTTGAACAATTTTTAAAGGTGACCACCAAAGGAACATTCCTGTGAAGTTTGGATGAAATTGGCTCAGTGGTTTATGAGGAGATGTCATTTAAAGCAAAAGTTTACGGACGGACGGACGATGGACGGACGCCGGACGAAAAGCGATCACAAAAGCTCACCCTGTCACTTTGTGACAGGTGAGCTAAAAAAAAGTTTAGGGTCGGCTGTAAAAAAATAGGGTCGGTCGGGTTCCCTGAACCAGACATATTTTTTATTTTGGCCTAATTACTTATAAAAGTTGTGTCTTGTTTATCAATTCCCATAGCATGATTTTTTTTCCTCCAGACTATTTTTTGTAATCACTGCTATGAAATATTTCCATTCAATATGTAACAACAGCAGTGTTAAGACATGGATACCTTCTTATATTATATGTTTCAGTTATATATTTTTTATAATTTCTAGATATTTCACAAATAAGTCAAAATTACAGACTTTTTAAAAGTGTATCAATTACTGATTGACAGAAAAATATTGACGATACATCAATTTGGTTTCTACTGATAACAGCTGTAGTGAAATAGTCATCAGATTACTTACCTTGTCATGTATATTATGCATGAACATAGCTATATTTTATCATCTTCTAAAAATATAATTGAAAACAAAGCAACTTACTAGAGCATTTCTTCAAAATATCTACAAATTCTTTACAGTAGGTCCTCTTGTCATTTTTATTCTGCTCCTATAATGGGAAAATATCATATCTGACATACAAATGTATTCCCTGTCTACATAGAACTGTTTCTACTGCAGTACAATAACAAATGAGCCGTGTCATGACAAAACAAACATGGTGCGTTTGCGACCAGAATGGATCCAGACCAGCCTGCGCATCTGCGCAGTCTGATCAGGATCCATGCTGTTCGCTTACCAACTCTATAACAAGTAGAGAAACTGATAGTGAACAATATGGATCCTGATCAGACTGCGCGGATGCGCAGGCTGGTCTGGATCCATGCTGGTCGCAAACACATTATGTTGGTTTTGTTGTGACACGGCTCAAATGTCAAAGTTGGCTGGCAGTGGTAATCACCATAATGACTAATACGGTTAAAATCAGCAAACATGGCATTTATGAAATTTAACAAAAGCTGTATCAGGAACAGCGCACACCATATCTTATATTAATAAACTGCAGATATTTTAAACAAAAGAGATAATTTGAATTCATGGTCATATTGACTGTGACAGTTTGACCGGAAAATGGACAGAATGTTTTTTTGCACAATTAAGGCCAACCTTAAAAATTTCTTTGTTTCCCATGAAGCATGCCAGATAGGGAAAGGGTTGGTTAGATATACATGTGTATTTCTTTATCTACAATACAAATGTATCTTTTTATTAAGACTAAGCATAATCATAAATTAATATAATTTACATGAAATTATATCTGCATTATATTGATTTCAAAAAAAAAAATTGTAAATGCTCAGCATCTCTTCAATGTTAAGAACCAAAGTTTTATTCAATAGATATCCCATTTTGTATAACAAGCAAACTTCTTCTATATTAAAGTAAAACAAGAGCTGTCAGTAGGACAGCAACGCTCGACTATTCTTAGTGCTTGATAGTAAATGAGCCTTGATAATGTAAAATTTTCTGAGTTAATAACAAAAGGACAAATTTTTTCTTTAAATCCATGTTACAGTTATAGGCCTTGGAGAGAGTCCTATTATGCTCTCAAAGAAGAGTATAAAATTTCAACTTGTTTCAATAAAATATGAAAATATCTGAGGTGGTATGCATACCTAAATGTAAATTCTAAGTTGAAACAAGTGTGCAAAGTTTCAAAGCCATTTGTCAATGGACTTTGAAAATATTTGAGGTATTACAAAAACTTTAACGTAAATACTTAGGCAAAAACGGGCCATAATTCTGTCAAAATGCTTGATACAGTTACCTCCTCCTGTCTACAGGTTGGGGTCATGATGGTGAACAAGTGTGCAAAGTTTCAAAGCCATATGTCAATGGACTTTGAAAATATTTGAGGTATTACAAAAACTTTAATGTAAATACTAAGTCAAAAAGGGGCATTATTCTGTCAAAATGCTTGATAGAGTTACCTCCTCCTGTCTACAGGTTGGGTTCATGATGGTGAACAAGTGTGCAAAGTTTCAAAGCCATTTGTCAATTGACTTTGAAAATATTTGAGGTTTTACAAAAACTTTAACATAAATACTAAGTCAAACAAGAGCTGTCGGTAGGACAGCAGCGCTTGACTATTCTTAGTGCTTGATAGTAAATAAAGCCTTGATTAAAAGGTAAAATTTTCTCAGTAAAGAAAAAGGCAAATTTTTTCTTTAAATCCATATTACAGTTATAGGCATTGGAGAGAGTCCTATTATGCTGTCAAAGAAGAGTATAAAATTTCAACATGTTTAAAAGCCTTATGAACTTTGAAAATATTTGAGGTATTACAAAAACTTTAATGTAAATACTAAGTCAACAAGCAATTATCATAGTATTGCAAGCAATCCATAAGTCCCCTACCGGTAAGAGCCCAAGCAACATTCTGAAGGGCCATTGGCCATTCACTTAGGTTCCTATTTTAAGTAAATTTGTTGAAAAAGTTCTTTAAAAGTGATCACAGGAAACAGTTTTTATGTACAGACAGACGGACTGAAGGACACTCTAAAGTTATTTTTTAAACATCCCTGTTATAAAAATATAACATTTTTAAAATCCTATCATGATTGAAGAAGTTGGAGTAAAAATTACCAATTTCTCAAAAAAAAGTCTAAGTTCAAAAGGGGCATAATTCTGGAAATAGTCTTGCTAGAGTATTGAACACTCACAAATGTTGAGTGACAATAAGAAACATTTATATGAAGTTTGAAGTAGATACATTCAGAAAAAGAAGTTATTAAAAAAAACAATGTTTTTTTCATGAAAATTTTAAGTTCAAGGGAGGAAATTCTGATAAATTTTGTGCTAGAGTTGTAAACCTTGTCACATATGATGTGGTTGATGACAAGCAACTTCTATTTAAAGTTTGAAGAAAATACCTTAAGAAATAAAGAACTTATAGTGAAAAAACTTAAAAACTAGAATCAGAAATCTTGAAATTCAGTCTATTTGTTGCCATAGCAACCAGAATTTTCAACATAGGAAGATAAAAAAGGATGTGCATAATTTCCATACTGCCATCTATCCATATGTCAAGTTTCATAAACATATTTTCAGTACTTTTTGTGTTATCAATGGATCCAGGTTATGTGTAAAATTTGCCACATTTTCAGTCTATTTGTTGTTATAGCAACCAGAATTTTCAACATAGGAAGAAAAGAAAAAGAAGTGCATAATCTACATACTGCCATCTATCCATATATCAAGTTTCATAAAATATTTTCAGTACTTTTTGCATTATCGCGGGATCCAGGTTATGTATAAAATTTGCCATATTTTCAGTCTTTTTGTTGCCATAGCAACCAGAATTTTCAACATAGGAAGAAAAGAAAAAGACGTGCATAATCTCCATACTGCCATCTATCCATATATCAAGTTTCATTAAAATATTTTCAGTACTTTTTGCGTTATCGCGGGATCCAGTTTTGTGGACGGACGGACAGACAGACGGACGGACTGACGGACAGACAGACGGAGGGTAAACCTAAAGTCCCCTCCGGTAAACCGGTAGGGGACTAAACAAGAGCTGTCAGAAGGACAGCGCGCTCGACTTTTTTAGTGCTTGCCTATAAAACAAAACTTTGACAGTTAAGGGCACACAAGACTTTAACTAGGAATTTCTAAGTACAAATCAAGAAACATTTTCACAGAGTTATCTTCTCTTGCTTACAGATAGGTCTCATGATGGCACATAAGAACTCCAACTTCCAAAGTAATATCTCAAATGGTTAAGTCAACAAGTGGACAAGAATGAAAATCTTAACTGAGTTTCTAAGTCAAAAAGGGCCATAATTCAAATAAAATCCTTAACAGAATTACCTTCTCCTGCCCATGTTTTGGGACCATGATGGTAAACAAGTATTCCAACTTTCAAATTAATATCTCAAACAGTTCAGTCAAAAAGTGGACTGGTACTAAAAACTTAACCAAGATTCTAAGTCGATAAAAGGCCTTAATTTTTAAAACAAATCCTTGACAGAGTTACCTTCTCTTGCGTACAGATGGGGTAATGATGTGAAATAGCATTAAAAGTTTCAAAGCAATATCTCAAAGGGTTAAGGCAATAAGTGGATTTTACCCATATTCAATGTATTTTCTAAGTCAAAAAGGGGCATAATTCTGTCAAAAACCTTGACAGAGTTATGTCCTCTTGTCTGTTGATGAAGGTCGTGATGGTAAACAAGTATGGTCAGTTTCAAAGCAATACCTCCAATGGTTTTGAAAATAAAGTGAGGTGGTACAAAAAACTTAACCAAGCTCAATACACTTTCTAAGTCAAAAAAGGGCCATAATTCTGTCAAAAACCTTGACAGAGTTATGTACTCTTGTCTGTAGATGGAGGTTATGATGGTGAACAAGTATGGTAAGTTTCAAAGCCATACTTGTAATACTTCTGAAATAAAGTGGGGTGGTACGAAAAACTTAACCAAGGTGTGACGCCAACGCCGACGCCAACGCCGACGCCGACGCCGGGGCGAGTAGGATAGCTCCCCTTTTCATAGAAAAGTCGAGCTAAAAAGGGGCATTATTCTGTCAAAATGCTTGATACAGTTACCTCCTCCTGTCTACAGGTTGGGTTCATGATGGTGAACAAGTGTGCAAAGTTTCAAAGCCATTTGTCAATTGACTTTGAAAATATTTGAGGTTTTACAAAAACTTTAACATAAATACTAAGTCAAACAAGAGCTGTCGGTAGGACAGCAGCGCTTGACTATTCTTAGTGCTTGATAGTAAATAAAGCCTTGATTACAAGGTAAAATTTTCTCAGTATAAAAGAAAAAGGCAAATTTTTTCTTTAAATCCATATTACAGTTATAGGCATTGGAGAGAGTCCTATTATGCTGTCAAAGAAGAGTATAAAATTTCAACATGTTTAAAAGCCTTATGAACTTTGAAAATATTTGAGGTATTACAAAAACTTTAACGTAAATTCTAAGTCAAAAAAGGGGCATAATTCTGTCAAAATGCTTGATAGAGTTACCTCCTCCTGTTTTCAGGTTGGGGTCATGATGGTGAACAAGTGTGCAAAGATTCAAAGCCATATGTCAATGGACTTTGAAAATATTTGAGGTATTACAAAAACTGTAACGTAAATTCTAAGTCAAAAAAAAGGGGCATAATTCTGTCAAAATGCTTGATAGAGTTACCTCCTCCTGTCTACAGGTTGGGGTCATGATGGTGAACAAGTGTGCAAAGTTTCAAAGCCATATGTTAATGCACTTTGAAAATATTTGAGGTATTACAAAAACTTTAATGTAAATTCTAACTCGAAAAAGGGGCATAACTCTGTCAAAATGCTTGATAGAGTTACCTCCTCCTGTCTACAGGTTGGGTTCATGATGGTGAACAAGTGTGCAAAGTTTCAAAGCCATATGTCAATGGACTTTGAAAATATTTGAGGTATTACAAAAACTTTAACATAAGTGGTTACGCCGACGCAGACACTCCGGTGACTACAATAGCTCTACTTATTCTTATCGAATAGTCGAGCTAAAAAGGGGCATAATTCTGTCAAAATGCTTGATACAGTTACCTCCTCCTGTCTATATGTTGGGGTCATGATGATGAACAAGTGTGCAAAGTTGCCATATGTCAATGGACTTTGAAAATATTTGAGGTATTACAAAAACTTTAACCTAAGTAGTTATGCCGACGCTCGGGTGACTACAATTGCTCTACTTATTCTTATCGAATAGTTGAGCTAAAAAAGTTGTAAAATACTTGGGGTAATACAAGAAGCAGAGATTTTTACCAGTTGATAGTGGAGAGGAAAAAAAACAAGATTCTATAATAGGCATAACCCTACCAAAAGGAAGCCATGAGTTTTAGAGAATATTAAGTATGTAGACATACCAACAAGTACTTGCAAACAGCGGTTTTGTTTGAAAGAGCCATCTTCTCTGCCATGCTGGGTAGACTGTGTCCATTTTCATTTTGTAGTTGATCAAGAATAGACTGATATTGTTCATTTGCAAACAGTCCAAGATCCATACTCCATTTATATCTAAAATAATACAGATAAATTTTTACTTAATGTCTTAATTTAACTTCAGTCAATCTCTGAAAAGAAAATTTCAAATGAAATGGAGTTTTCTGAAGCATTTTTAATACACAATTTAAATTTCACTTTTCTACATGTAAAAGTCCAAGCGAAACATCGTCGGACCGTCGGTCATGTCCCGTAATTTTTTGAAAGGTCCGACAAATTCAGAAAGTTCGCCGGACCTACTGTCCAGTAATTTTTTTTAGCAGTAGAACTATAAAAAAAGAAATCTTTTCACGTTTCTAGGCCCTCTTTCTCCAGTTTGCTAAGAAAAGCAAAAACAATGTCGCCCTTATTAGGATAAACACGTGCAATAATTTTCCAATTGTCAAAATCTTCCACGCTCCGCCTAATATCAAAACGGTCTGTTAAACCAATTTTCATTGGTCGGTATAATTAGACAAGAGCGATCAGTAATCACATGTGTCGCCTCATGATGGCCAATTTCATGTTGGGACAAATTTTGTGACAGACAGACGGACAGTGCACAACTAGACTTGGTACTGATCATTCCTGTAAAGTTTGGATAAAATTGCACCAGTAGTTATGAGGAGTAGTCCGACAAGCTTTTGCGTATCTGGCAACACACAGAAAAAAAAAACCTTTTTATCAAAGGGCCATAACACTACTCCGTAGAGGCGACACAAAAACCAATGAAACGCAGCAATACAACTGAGCATATGTTGGAAGTCAACAGGTGACATCTCCGGAGTTGATAATTGCCGATCAAATACATGTATCAACAAACAACAATATAAACAGATTAGCGGCAATTCATGTCAATTAAGACCAATAACGGACATACATAGCGCATAAATTTGGTTAGTGCATAAATTTGTCGGTAAGTCCAGTGATCATGTTGATATACATGTATGTTTGCTTTACAAAAACTTGTCGCATAAAAAATTCAGTCAAACATTTTGATTTTTACATTTTTTTTGTCAAATGCTTCAATAGCAAATGAAAATGATAGATAAATAAACTTCTGTAAACACTCGTAGTGGTGAATATCCGATGATTATTCTTAATAAGAATTTCTGTAAGAACAGTTGTAAATGATTTAAAAGAAGTTAAAATTTATTTGTGATGATGATTGTGATGCTCGAATATTAAATGTAACTTTAAGTATTTATTAGAGGACAATATTATTTATAATTCAGTGGAAAAAAACAACATCCACATGAACCTTATTAAGTTCATATAACATGTATTAACTACGACTCTAAACTGTCAAGAAATACTTTTTTGGGGGAAATATTGAAATTGATGAATTATATGATTTACTAAAAAGGGTTTTTATTTTTTTATTTCAGCACAAAGTCACCTGGCTGCAGTGACTAAATCAAAACAAGCTACATGAAACCTATGATAAAGATGATAGAGAAGAAAAAACATAAGACTGCCTGCAAGCATTCAGTTCATTTTACCACAGACACTTGGGGTTTGGAGCTCAAAACGCCTTTAAAATCCAAATAAAATGCATATTTGTCAATCCAAGCACATGTACTGATCATATATATCAAAAAAACTTAATAGAAGCCGTTTTGAAAAAAATTTCATATTTCAACATCTACAATAATAGTAGTAGTGTGTTTACATCATGAAAATTTTAACAATGACATCATAATTAACAAGGCGAAATACAAATTTGGATAATACTTCAATAAAAATGGGTCAAAGACAAAAATGGTCGGGTTGAATTTGTATACCAAATAACATGACTCATGAGGCTGTGATGTTACAAAAATGTACTACCATTGACCAGTAATGTCGAACATTTTACTAAGTCGGTAAACAGGAAGTGGATAAGCGATAGACCTGAACTTGGGACCACATATTAATGCAGTCACATTACCAAATATCAAGAGGCTGTGTTATGTAGTCGCTGAGAAAACTGTTACGGAAATTTCCTTCCATTTACAATTAATGCCAAAAATTCAACTAAGTCATCAAACGGGAAGTGGATGAGCCACATACCTGAAATCATATCCCATTGTATGTGACTACATGTTGATGCTGCATACCAAATATCAAAAGGCTGTGATAAGTAGTTGCTGAGAAAATCGTTAGGAAAAATTCCTACCATTGACCATTATTATGAATTTAACTAAGTCAGTTAACATGAAGTGGATGAGTGACAGACCTGAAATCGAATCCCATGGTATGGGACAATGTGTTAATGCTGTATACTAAATATTATGAGGTTCTCTAGAGTAGTTGCTGAGAAAAATGTTACAAAAACTGGTCCAACCAATTTGCCTGCCTGCCCGGAATTAAGTCTCAATACATGATGGTAAACAGTATTTTTTTTGCATATAACCAGTATTATAGTTGTACCAGATATCCCATTAGTGTTTAGATATTAAAATAATTTTTGATAAAGGTGTTTACTCAGGGGTATCATGTTGGGGACAGGATCTAACCCCCAAGCATCTATGGTTTATCATATTTGGACATCCCTTTCTACAAAAACTTCTTCCTGTTCACATGAGTGGCTCTATACACAGGTTTAATCATAAAATAAAATCATGTAAAACAAACAGCAGGGATCTCAGGAAGGTCAGAATTTCATGTGGCAGACTGTTTGGCCAAAAATTTTCATGAGTCAAATCAGTTTTTTCTTGTGTTATTTTTCTACACGAATCATTTTCATGTTTTCAGAAATTACTGTTTGGGAAGTCATTTAGAGTAGATTTTCAAGTTTAAATTGATAACTATTGTAAGGTTAGGCAATTATAAGCTTCTTGCTTAGTTAACATGATAAAGATAATTAAGTATTTCTAGCACCATGGATAATTACCATAATTATTGTTCCATTTTCACTTACATTTATTGAGGTGATAAACACATGTGTACATGCAGGGGTAAAAGTTACAGAAACTTAAATTCTGAAAGAAAAAGTTGGGGGTCAGGGGGCCGCTAGGGCCCCCAGTGGGTCCAGGGCAACGCCCTGGCTAGGGGTTCAGGGGGCTGGAGGCCCTTGGAAGCTTTTGCAATTTAGTGAATTTAAAAGTTCAAAAAAGGCTCAGATACATACTCAAGTGCTTTATATATCTTCAGATGTAATTTATCTGATATGTTAAAATTTACACAAATTCACTGAGCAATACTATTTAAGCAATATATACACATTCCACATAACAAATTATGTTCATTCTTTTACTTTCAATTTCATATCTTAAATTTAATCCTTTTCCATTGTCTTCCACTTGTTAATGTAGCACACTTTCAACTGACTTGACAATTTCTTCAGATGTGGAAACATTTTGAATTTTCAATCCTAAATGATCCATTACTACTTGACTAGTTTCATCATCAAAGTACTGAAAGATTACTTTGTTATTGTTTTTTGTTAGTTGCCTCATCCATATTCAAAGATATTAACTTATCTTTCACTTTTGACTTCACTCCATCCTTAACAGATTTGGCTACACCATGTGTTGTTATGTACATTGCACTGGTTGGAGAAAGAGTAGTTTTTTCAAGAGCAGGCTTGTCTTCAGCTAAACGTTTGGCAAGATGTTAGAGATCGCCTGCTATGGAAAATGGCAGACAATGTTCACTAAGAAAGGCAGTTGTGATTGCTCTTTGTTTGGCAATGCGGTCTTGCATACTTTCAATCTTTTTGTCCACAGCTTTTGATGAGCCTGGCAGTACATGAAAAAGACAATTTTCAAATAAAAGATGTATGAAACATATCAAATAAACTAGAAATGTGTCATCATGCCACGGATGCCCCCGCATGCAGCCAAAATTTCAAATGTTATAATATTTAGTTCCAAATTTGTTTGCACAAATTATTTTTTTCATTCTATGTTCAAAGCCCTTAAAACTTTTCAATGTTAACACAAACCATTTTTATACAATGTTCAAGGCACTGAAATTATTCAGTCTTAACCTTTTGAAAATAGCATATTGCATATTTGTAGCCAAAATAATGGCTATATACATTTCCACAAAAGTATGAGTGCTGAAACTGAAAGTTCAAAATTTTTCCAACATTCAGGAAAGATAAGTTTGTCCAAAATCATTGAACAACGACCAAATTCCAACTTAAACTGCTTATTCCTAAGATGTATCTATATTATTTTCAAAGTGAAAGGGACATAACTCTGCCAAAAAATCATCGAACCATGACCAAATTCCAACTTGACCTGCGCATTCCTTTGACATATCCATATGTCAATTTTGAGTTGAATATGTAACACTGTTGGGTTGATAATGAACAGAAACTGTAAATTTCATATCATTTTCAAAGTGAAAGGGGCATTACTCTGCCAAAAATCATTGAACCATGACCAAATTCGAACTTGGCCTGCGCATTCCAAAAATATATCCATATGTCAAATTTGAGTTGAATGTGTAATACTGTTGGGGAGATAATAAACGGAAACTGAAAATTTCATATTATTTTTAAAGTGAAAGGGGCATAACTCTGCCAAAAATCATCGAACCATGACCAAATTTGAACTTGACCTGCGCATTCCTTTGACATATCCATATGTCAAGTTTGAGTTGAATGTGTTGTACCATTGGGGAGTTAATGAACGGAAACTGAAATTTTCATATTATTTTCAAAGTAAAAGGGGCATAACTCTGCCAAAAATCATCAAACCATGACCAAATTTGAACTTGACCTGTATTTTCTCATGACATATCCATATGTCAAGTTTGAGTTGAATGTGTTGTACCGTTGGGGAGATAATGAACGGAAACTGAAAATTTCATATTATTTTCAAAGTAAAAGGGGCATAACTCTGCCAAAAATCATCGAACCATAACCAAATTTGAACTTGACCTGTATTTTCTCATGGCATATCCATATGTCAAGTTTGAGTTGAATGTGTTGTACCGTTGGGGAGATAATGAACGGAAACTGAAAATTTCATATTATTTTCAAAGTAAAAGGGGCATAACTCTGCCAAAAATCATCGAACCATGACCAATTTCAAACTTGACCTGTATTTTCTCATGACATATCTATATGTCAAATTTGAGTTCAATATGTGCAACGGTTATTAAGATAATGAACGGAAACTGATGATGACGGAAGGACGGAATGACAGAATTACGGAATGACGGAACAGGGTAACACTATATGCCCTTGCCATTATATGGCGGGGGCATAAATATCACACTCATAAATTGTCAATTTAGTTTGGAAACAAGGAAATAATCAAACTAAAAAAAACATAGATAAAGAAAATCCTGTTCTAATTAAGGCTCCCACGTTTACAATTTTTTGTAAACGTTTACACGACTGCTAAGAACCGAAACGATACCGTTTAAACGGTGGTACCTCTATGTACTATACACACCATGTACTTGAGTCGCCAAATGATGTCTTTCTTTCTATTTTTAATACATGTACAAATAAAGAATGTGCAAGGCTCATCACGATTGAGTCAGCACACATTTTTTGCATTGTAACCCCATTTTTTACCAAAAATGTATTATGTCACGAGCAATTTTGCACGGTAATGCTGTGTGGAGGGTTGTAAACACCCATTTTCCGTTTGTTTACTTTGGAATAAACCACTAGAATTGATAAAATCCATGATTACAGGCAATGATTAAGAAATTTTGTAAGACAATATGGTCATTTCGATTAAACAGTAAACAAAATCGTAAACGTTTATGAATGAAAATCGAAACGAATCCGTTTAAACGTGTAATCGTGGGGGCCTTAGTTCTAATCCTTAAAATTAATATTAAGCTGGAAAAAATCTCCAGACCTATTAAAAATTTGGGCATAGGTTCCCCTGCACAAGGCCATTTTTTAATTCAACCCCCAACCCTTGCCCAGACCACATGAAAGTTGGGGGAAGACAGAAGAGGGTGGGGTAATGTGAATTCTTTATTAACTACACAATGCACAACTAAACCTCTTTTCGTTACTTACTCTAGATAGTGGCTAAACTACAAAGAGAAATGATCTTACTTGGTCTAAGATTCTTTTAGTGGTCCTCATCTTCAGCTCATCGTGATTAAGAAGCACCTTTTTCTGTTCGATTTGTCTAGTTGATCGTTTTGGAACAGACTTCACAAAAGCCCATTGCATTTGGTTTCTTCAACCAAGCATCCCATTTTTCACATTTAGAGTCCTTTTCTGCTAACCACTCCCACCTCCATTTGTTTTTTGCACCCTTTTTCAGACCAAACTTCACCGTTGTTGTCATTGTATTTGTACATGTATTTTGACATCAAATGACTATGCAACAAACGATTTCATTGGCTGGTGTAAAAAACGACGACCAATCAAATCTGATCTTGTATATTCTAGCTCAATTTTTCATCGGCAATCTCCGTATTGTAATTGTTTTTGATTCGTATACAAACGGGTCTGAGATGGACAAATTTATTTTAAAATATATATCAAGCATTATCAAGCAATTTACGCACGCTAATTAGTGAGGCATGCACACACACCCTTCCCGATTTCTCATCGGATTTGCGTCATTCAGAAAAATGACCTCGGAGATCGCCGAAAACATTGTATAATTTTAGAAATCATATCACGGGAGGTGATATTTACATAAATACTAAATGTCATCCCTTAATACTTCACAAATAGTTAACAAAATACCTGTTTCAACGAAGCACACCGATAATTGTATTCATCTTCACTTCTTTGTTTTGAAATACGAGTTTATGTTACAAAATTTCTCAATTTCCTTGTTCAAGGTCGCCATTTTGTCCTAATTCCCGTAATCCAATTAGTTTAGTTTCTAGGTCAGATTGATACAGATGTTTTCTAAGACTCAGGACTGATTGATATCTATTATTTAATGATTTGAATTGTATGTTTATAATCAGAATAAAATAGTATGTCATAAATCGTTCAGCAGATTCAGTAAGACTGGTGTACACAAAAATATATGATTTTTTCCGCAAACCGGAAGGAAGCATTTAAGTAATATCCGCACTGTAAATTAAACTGTTATCTTAATAAGCTATTTTTTTGTGAAAAAAATACAACACTTTTTGTTCACTTTCGTTTCTTTGTGCAACATCTTACAAATAAAATATGCAAGTCAATGTCAAGAACCAAAATACCTTGCAATTTATTTCGGAAATGACACAGTCTTCCTTTCTGATGATATTACGAAATTTATGGAAAAATCCATTATAAAATGGGGAAATCAACTTCACTGTAGCTCTCAAATTTGTGCTAATCTGATCGACTCTGTTTTGAATTAACATTCACATTCAACAAACTTTTCATCCTTCTTATGCTTTAAAAGAAAAATCTTCATAACAATGTCTGTTGAGACAAATAATACAAGATACACTGTCTCAATTTATCCCTACAAAGAAAGTCTATATAACCTTGCAATAAAAAAACTCTTTAACTCCCAAAATAGAGACCAATTTTCAGCCTTAGACCATAATTTGAATATACTTTGTAGGAACTAACAAGCTTATAATGCCTTGTGAGAAATATCTAAGCTCTAGCCCTTTCCATTTTGAAGTATAAGAACTTTTAAGTTTTTTCTTTTAGTTGCCATGGAATGGCATTCTTTGAACAATCTTGATAGAGCTTCATACAATGAGTATTCCTGCCAAGTTTCATTAATATTGGCCCAGTGGTATTGTAGAAGATGTCGTCCGAATAAAATCAAATGTGGACGGACGACGGACGCCATTTGGTTGGCCATCCTAAAAGCTCACCTGCACTTTGTGCAAGGTGAGCTAAAAATTATGAAAGGTAGAGTTATCATTCTTGTGCACTGCACACCTCCTGGGTGAGATCTATGCACCTATGAAGTTTCATGTTGATATCTCATAGGCTTTTGGAGTTATCATTCTTGTGCACTGCACTCCTCCTCAATGAGGTCTATCCACCTATGAAGTTTCAAGTTGATAACTCAAATACTTTTAGAGATATGCTCCGGACAAAAATGTCGGACGGAAGGTTGGACGGACGGACGGAGACTATTTCTATATCCCCTGCCGCCTTTTCGGCGGGGGATAAAAAGTGAATTTTGGGGGAGATTCACAAATTCGAAAACCTAGCTCAACGCTGTTTTCTGGTACTTTCTGTACATAGCTCTGGGTAATTCACCTAATGGAGTGTAATAACGAACTCTATGTTTTTGGTCTCAGTTTGAGTCACAATTTTTATAAACAAAAAAAATCGTCACAGATAATCCAATACGTGCGTGTAGTTATAGTTTTTTCACGGTCAAAACAAACTAGAAATGTGTCATCATGCCACGGATGCCCCCGAATGCAGCCAAAATTTCAAATGTTATAATATTTAGCTCCAAATTATTTTTTTCATTGTAAGTTCAAAGCCCTTAAAACTTTTCAATGTTAACACAAACCATTTTTAAACAATGTTCAAGGCACTGAAATTTTTCAGTCTTAACCTTTTGAAAATAGCATATTGCATATTTGTAGCCAAAATAATGGCTACATACATTTCCACAAAAGTTATGAGTGCTGAAACTGAAACCAAATTCAAACTTAAACTGCTTATTCCTAAGATGTATCTATATTATTTTCAAAGTGAAAGGGACATAACTCTGCAAAAAAAATCATCGAACCATGACCAAATTCCAACTTGACCTGCACATTCCTTTGACATATCCATATGTCAAATTTGAGTTGAATATGTAACACTGTTGGGTTGATAATGAACGGAAACTGAAAATTTCATATTATTTTCAAAGTGAAAGGGGCATAACTCTGCCAAAAATCATCGAACCATGACCAAATTCATTTTCATATTGGTAATTTCTCAATTAATGAGGCTACATTGAACAATACCCTCTTCATGGCAAAAGTATGAAAAATTTGTTACTTGAAACAATGCATGAACTGTTTTTTATATATACTATATAACATTAGTCAATACTAACCACTTTGTAAGAAATGGTTATTCTTAAGCAAGTTGTATCTAGTCATATTGATAGCTAACGCATTTCAAGAGGAGTGGTGGCCTATAGGTTAAGGTGTCTGCCTCTCAACCCAGGGATCATGGGTTCGAGCCCTAATCGGGTCATGAAAATGTTTTCTTCTTATCATATGACATCAGTACTAGTTGGTTCCAGGTAGCGAACTCGAAAGTGATTAACATAAGTTGTAAGAACTTGTTTCACAATTGAGCTTAAATAAACATGTTTAAACCAAAATGCATGTCATTTTTGCCGTAAAGATTAAGAGAGTTAAAACAAAGGTTCATACTCTGAAGATGCCTCGTCTGTAGGCTTGGACTTTATCTGTGCCGCTGGCATTAAATTCTGCAGAGGCAGCTTTGGTCGTTGTTGAACAACCTGTCCTTGTAGGCCAGGTGATGTCACGACACTGATAATTGGCACATTGGGTGTATTAAATTTTTGTTTGTCTAACCCCGTTATTAATCATTGGTGAAGATCTGTAAATATATTATGTATCGAACATTAAAACTACAAAACTCTAACTGGAATGAATATTCTTAATAAGTACAATTTAAGCCACTTTTGTACAAATAATATGCAATACCGATTCTTTTTTCATTTCACCCAGACTCTTGTTTATATTATGTTTTGTTAAATTTGAACAATCTCAAGGAAAGCTTAATAAAGTATCTGATTGTATCCCTTTTTTGATTGTCTGTTATAACCTCATGTACAAGAACAACCAATCACATTTTTATAGCTTTAAGTTACTTTGTTGGCATTTATTCAGAATTACTCTCAATATTTCCTCTAAAACATATGCTGGAAAATATCTTCAACATCTTTGCCTAAAAATTAATTTTCGCTCAACAGAAATGTATTTAATAAATTGAAATATTTCTCTGTGTGTGTTAAGCATATATATTCACAACTAGCATGTTAGCATTAACTCAAGGGTTTACTAATCCTGTAAAATTGAAGTAATTCATGTATGTAACATAAATAGGATTATATGTATTTTGAAAAAAGACAATATTAAAGAAAAATAATAAAGAAAAAAAATAAAGAAAATAGGTTTAAAAATGTACATTCTCTCTTACCCTCTGACATTTGGTGACATGTGAACACCTGTGGCGTTTCCATAACATTGCCCTTGACCTCTACCTCGACCCCTGCCGCGGCCACCTCTAGCACCCCTGCCTCTTTGACTAGAATCTATAATGGGGTGCTGAACTGTTAAAGTAAGGTACACAAACTTGTATAACTAATCAATGAATTATGACCGTTATAAAATTGCTAAAAAGGATGGCCTGTATAAAATCAAAGCATATGCCATGGTTTTATTTTTTTTTATCATTCTTATTCAGCAACTGTTTCGCAGAACAGTTGAATGTGATGCAGTTGTTCATTAAATTTGTTTGACCTTTAACATAATATTTAGTACACATAACTTAAACTTCATAATGTTTTAGTGATTCAATATAAAACATACATCTTAAAATTTCTAAGCATAAAAGATAACACTTTAAAACTCTTACTCAAAATTCCCTTGTCAAAAGGATGGAATTCTCCATTTTGCCACAGCCTTGTTCGTGCATTACCGTAGCGATCACGAATCACATACGCCTGTCCCTCTTCAAATTGGCCACCGCCTTCTAGCACAACATTGTTTTTATTTATTTTCTGCATTTGTGAACTTGTTTTCACTACAGACTGATTTTGGGCCTGATTAGTTGATACTGTTTGTACCTGTACCGGACTTTGGTACGAGGTAGAGGTAGTTTGATTTCCTTGCACCGGTATCTGCATGACACTTTGCTTTATTGGAGTTCTTTGTTGGGGATGAGATATTTGAGACTGGCCACGGCCAGAGACCGTTATCACTTGAGTTTTTTGATGACCCTGTACACCTTGTGCTATTCTTTGATTCGTATTCGCCGGATAACCACCATTACTGTCCGGAAAATTAATATCCACTTTCCTTTGAGTTGTTGAACCCTGTGGCTGTGTTAAAATCTGGCGAATTCTACCTCCAGTGTCCAGCTGTTTTCCTCCACCTGATGGTGTATCCATGCCAAATCTATTTGAAGTATTCCAGCCAAGCCCTGCACTCTTCTCAGTTTCTTCAAGGGCTGTAAAAAATTAAAGTGCCCCTTTTAAGTTTTTAATCATATTTTTACAGTAATGCTTTACAAGAATAATTGCTTCCAGTTTGCTTTTTAACTATTTTTACATGCCTGTATGGCTTACATAATTTACTCAAGTTATTTTTTTGTTTACAAAATCTTTTTAAATAATGAATTTTCTTCACATGACACTCATAAATCCCTAAAAAGGAGAAGCCAACTCTTTCATTTATATCAAACACGATTGGCTAGGGAGTGTCTGACAATTGAGTAAATAAACTTTGATTGGTCTTTGGCTGGTCGGCGCTTAAACATTGTGCATATCATTAATCAATACAGACATCTTAAGCGTGACGTAAGAACTGCTGCCCTGACAAAAGATCAAAGGTACCTGTATGTCAATATACATTGTTTTAGCACCTGTTGACACTTTGTTTTTCGCTTGGATATATTGAGAAGGGTAAATGTTTTTAGCGACTATTGTAAGTTGATATTCTTCATCAACAAAGCTAATTGCAAAATATGATTTTCTTTTATTTATCGGGCGCTGATTAAAAAACTGAACATTATAATCAAATATCCCTGGTAACATTAAAATAAGATTCATATGTTTCTTTGAACATTATGTCATCGTTTCTTTACCAATCAGTTCTAAAAATTGAGCCTGTATCAACGCTAACAGAACTCTCAAAAAAGGTCGAAATAATGTCATTTTTAGTGAGTTGATTGTTTGGAATTTTGAAACGGTTTTTTGGTCTATATATGGTACGTGAACAAGTAACTTAAATTTAAAAGATACAATACCTTATTTGAATTTGATGTTCTTTTAAGTGTGGGCCCCTTTTTTCTCAAATGACCCCCTTTTGAAAAGTTTATGGGCCCGAATAGCCCCTGGGAATTTGTTCTAGATTGAACACTGAA